TGAAATTCAATTATATCTGGCAATATGTTTCTTATTTATTTTTTGCAAGTTTTGTTAAACATAGTAAGTCACAAAGTTTATAGCTTAATGCATTTTCACCGGTGAACACATTTGTAAAACCAGTACCCAAGCCTCCATGGAAAGCAGTATGGGCGTGCCTTAAAAAACTAAAAATAGAGCAAATATATGATCCAGCAATCCCATTCCTGGGCATATACCTGGAAAAGACGAAAACTCTAATTTGAAAAGATACATGCACCCCAATGTTCATAACAGCACTATGTACAATAACCAAGACATGGAAGCAACCTAAATGCCCATCAACAGATGAAAGGATAAAGAACATGTGGTCTATATATATGTTGGAATATTACTCAGCCATTAAAAAGAATGAACTATTACCATTTGCAGCAACATGGATGGACCTTGAGATTACCATGTTGAGTGAAGTAAGTCAAAGACGACTATTATATAACTTATATGTGGAATCTAAAAAATTATACAGGGGGAGGGTATGGCTCAGTGGTAGAGTATGTGCTTAGTATGCACAAGGTCCTGGGCTCAATCCCCAGTACGTCCACTAAAAATAAATAAATAATACAAATTAATTTATTTACAAAAGAGAAACGGACTGACAAACATAGAAAACAAACTTACGGTTACCAAAGGTGAAGGGGAGGAAGGGATAAATTAGGAGTTTGGGATCAACAGACACACAGCAATAAAACTGATAAACAACAAGGATTTACTGTATAGCACTGGGAATTATATTAAGTATCATATAATTACCTATAATGGAAAAGAATCTGAAAAAATAATATATATAACTGAATCACTTTGCTGTAACACCTGAAACTAACACAATATTGTAAATCAACTATACTCCGATTAAAAAAATAAAAACAGCACCCAAGTCAAGAAACAGAATATTACAAAACCCCCAGAAGCTCCCAACCCTGCTTCCAGTCACAACTCCACCTCTACCCCCAGGGCAAACCCTGTCCTGACTTCTAACAGAGTAGAGCAGTTTTCCTGTGTTTTGAGCTTTATGAAGTAAAATCACAGAATGTGCACACTTTAGAGCCTGGCTTTTTTCATTCAACATGGGTCTCTGCAGTTCATCCTTCTCCTGTGTAGGGTAGTTAACTCAGTCTTACTGCTGTGCAATATTACACGGAATAAACAGACCCCAGTCTGTTCATCCATCCTCCCGCTGGGCATTTGGCAGCTTCCAGTTTGGAGACATTCGTGATAAAAGCGTTTGCAAACATTCTAGAACATGTTTTTTGGTAAATATACACATGCAGTTCTTGGAGTGGGACTACAGTTCTTAGAAACATATGTCGAAGAAAACAAATTCAAGTTTGATATAAACTTGAAATGGATTCCATGACAGCAGAGGACCCAAACCGGTCGTGGGCAGTGGATGGAGTGTGCTGGTAAAGCACAACTATGATACTGGGAGACATGCAGACCTCAAGGGGATTGTCCTGAGATTCACCAGATTTATTTAAAATGAGGGGAAGGAGCTCTGAGAAGAGATGCGAGAATCATTCAGATAAACAAGGCTGAAGGGCAGGGCCAGCCACTGCCTCCAGAGGACCGGTGGGAGTCACATAGTTATTCCTCATTCTCACGCGCAGAACTTTGTGACAGTGAGAACCTGAGTCCCTGGAAAAGGAGACCAGCGGGGCTGGGGGAGGCACGATGTGTGCACACGGGCTCTGAAAACTCTGCCCTGGGAGCTTTTTATAATCTTGGATGGAGGTAAGGAGGCCAGTGAGATTCCGTCATCCTAAGGAAAGAAGATTCCCTGCCCATTCCATTCTGTCCTGGGCCCTCCTGCTGTGCGCGAGCAAAATACTGTATCAATGCCATCAGATCCCCTCACTGAGACTTGCAAAATACCGATGTCATTCGCCCTCTCTTGTAAGCGACAGAATTAGTCTTCCTACTTCAAAAAGCAGAAAAACAAAATCCCGAGGGAGTCTGCATTTTCTAGTTTCAGCTTTAGTCAGCCGTCCTGGAAGTTCTGCCCCAGGAACCGAAGGACCCACCCTGGGAACCAGGCGGGGCGGGCTGGGCGCTCCACCCCGCAGGGCAGCGTGGCCAGGCCCGCAGCGCCACCTGGTGTTCGCGGCGAGGCAGCTGCCTTTCTTACACACGGTCTATCACTCGGTGTTGAGTATCCAGCGTGCACCACGCCTCACGCTTTGCCTTAGCGGCAGGACGTTAAGAATGAGAAAGGCAGCTTCAGGGTTCAAGCTTTCATCACCATATGGCTTTGGGCAACTTATTTTACATCACTGTGCCTCAATTTCCTTAACCTGAAAGTGGAGATAAAAGGAGGATGTAAGTTAAGCAGCGGAAAGCATGTCAATGTTTACCAACTTAGTAATCACTCCACACGTGGTGACTACAAGGCACGACCCCCTGAAGGGCTGACCTTTTTGTGGGGAGACAAACAAGTAAATGCAACAGAGAAAATGCATCACAAATAATGAAACAGAATTTGTTTCCATGGATAGTCATCCACATAGACAAAGATCAGAGCAAACATTGCTCTTACAAGTGACCTTTGGGCAAAATGTGGTAAATTCCTCTGATCTCAGCAAAAAAAATAAGTACATACTAAAATAATAAGGGGGTAGGGTATAGCTTAGTGGTAGAGCACATGCTCAACGTCCTGGGTTCAATCCTCAGTACCTCCATTAAATAAATAAATAAACCTAATTACTTCCCTGCTCCAAAAATAAATAAATAAATAACATTATAGGTGATTTCTTTGCCATGAAATAAACACAGTTAATTAATTTTTAAAAATAACAATAAAGGACCTCCTGTGTGTCCAACGAACTTCCAGGCGTAAGTAGTAAGTTATCTGGCATCATGAAGGTTCCAGCTATGTCTCTCAAGCCTTAACTTTTCAGGATTTGATTTCATCAAAACCGAAATTTTCTAAATTCATTAACCTTAGAGGGTTAATATCAAAGAATATGGTTGACAAGAGTAATAGCATTAAAAAAAAAAAAAGCATTTCTTGAGCTCCCCCTAGCAGAGAGTGGAATTCCAGGTCCCTCCCAACCTTGCCAGTCCCTGGGTGGCTCGAGATTGATCCCTGCAACTGCAGACATGACCTACTTCTCTGCAAGCAGCTCCCCTCCTCTGGTCAGTTCCTCCCCACTTTGCTAAAGCTGCTTTTCTCTCTCTGGTGCACTTTACTGATACTAAATCTCTCCCCGCAGCACACTTGAGCTCTCCAGGGTCCTGAGACTGGGACCACTTCCTTTCCCACCGACTCTTCCAGTCACATCACTGCTTCTGGCCTGAGCCGCTGACCCTCAGTGAAGCCATAACGTGAGAGCGGGAGCCTCGGTCCAGAGCGGGTACTGGAGATGCTGCCCCAGGGGCCAGGGTCACTTCTCTCCTTGTTCCTCTCCTTCCACAAGAGGGAGCCTCGTGCCAGCTGCTCCAGCCAGGGTGGCCGCCACCCAGACACCTGCTGTGCTACCCTTTCAGGTGCA